TTAGAAGTTGGTTAGAATGGTGGCTGCACTTTTGGGCCCTAAGCCCTCCATGAACCGATCTGTCGGTACTCTCTCTATACAGGTAATCTAGCCAGCGCCGTACATAGGCGGATACAGCAATTTGACAACACTGTTTTTCTCCATTGGGAACCATTCTCCAAACCTGTGGAAATGTATCGATTCTTAGAGGGGCCAGGTGCCCCGACAAGAATCGATTATTTAACATAGGTTTAAATGGAGGGAATCCGTTGTTGCCAAATTGCTGGATCAGCCCTTGGCGCCGTAAGGAAGAACGCCGGATGAACATTCGAGAGTTGCCAAATTTTATTTCGATACAATGTTTATTTTAGAGGAAAATAATGAATATTTTTCCTTTAAATTTTCAGAATCTTCAGTTGAAATAGCGAACAATATTATATTAAAAATTGGTAGGAAAATTGTCATAAGTTCACCTGGAAATTCGCCTTTTGAGAAAGGAAATTTGGCACCGCCTGAAGGTTCATACGACGTTTTTCCTTAGCACGGCAGTGGTAGACGCTACAGATCGTATTCGATAGTGGCTCGATGTATCGTTTGGTTTAAAACAATAGAACATAACCTCTTACAAAAAATTTAGGATTTTAGATGGATAAGCTGAAAACGAGAAAATTCCCAACAATTTCGCCTTTCATTGGCATTTTGAACTCATAGGAATGAAAAATCCATCACAAAAAATCCGTTCTCTCAGATTACTCAATTGACTTTCAAGGCTATGTTTACGTGTTGCACCAATCAATATCGATACAATCTCACCTGTTCGATGTATGCAGTACGATCCATAAGGAAGGACGTCAGCATGATGCGTCTCCATTGTATCGCATTGGATCCAAATAATAAGGGGCCGTCCATAAATTACGTCACCCAAGTAGGGAGAGGGGGTCTAGCGGTGGATGATGATGGGTGACGGGGAGTAAGGAAGGGATCAAGCTAAGAATGACGTAAGCTTGCTTGAAATTTGACTATATTTTCTGAAATGTATCGAATTTCTGCGTTGTCCCCGAAAAGGTCAAAAAATTTTAAACAATGGGTCACGTAATTTATGGACGGCCCCTAACAATGACATGCCCTCTTTCAATGCTACCAGTGAGCCTAAATCAAAACATTCGCTTTTCTGTGACGCTTTTCGTTCGGTTCGTCTCGTTTTGTTTCAAAGGTGGAGGTCAGGTTGGCAGAAAATGTCGTTTTCGCACACTGCACAGTTGCACAGTCTCATAAGTCCAATCTCCCTCCGACAGAGGGCCATTACCGACGAATCATTTTTCTGACCTCCTCCTACATGCCTAGGGTCGCGTCAGGCACATCAATGGCGGTGTTCCTTTTGAGGAATAATAATTAAAGTGAACCTACACCCCGCGTACATAAGCGCGAAGCAACTATTCGACCACCCGTGCATGGCACAGTATCACTTTAAATTGAAGGCGAACTGAACGCACCAACTCACTTGGCCAATTCCTGCAACGGCTGAAGTCGCTGGATCTTAAGAAATTATGATGAAATTGTTAACGGGCAAAAGATTCAGTCCTCAACAGGATAGGGAAGATTGAGTTTCTTGATGGAGCCGATGTTATCTTTTGATTCTTTTAACCTGTCTCTTACTTGCCTGAACACTTTAAAATATTGAAAAAAAGACTCAAACGCCCGATTAGGAATATCTGACGTTACGTCGTCACAACGGAGAGGAAAGGGTGGACAACCCTGCGCGTATTTGCACGTCTCTTTTGCAACACTTGAGGACGAAATGAGAAGGAAATTCTTACCTCATAGAGAAAATAAGTGAACTTCTACAAGTCAGCTTGCCGGACCGCAGTTTTCAGAGACTCTGCGCAAAACTAAATTCGTCGATAGTACATCTTACTGATCGGCCTTTCTCATGTGCTCAGTGCTCAACAAAATTTAAATTAAAGTACGTACCACGAAGACATGTGATGCGTGTACACAGTGTCGACTGACCTTCCTCCTGTGATCACTGCTCTAGCAAATTTAAATCTAAGTCGGAAGTACAATCGCATTTAATACATGTACATCTGACAGATCGGCCATTCTCGTGTGATCTGCGCATAAGAAAATTTAAGTCCACTTATGAACTACGACGGTATGGACTGTGTGTCCACAGTACTGATTGACCGTTTTCCTGTGGTCAGTGCTTAAAAAAATTAAAATAGAGGTCTAACGTAAGATCGCGTAAGATCCATGTTCACCACGCTGATGGATCTTACATTTAATCGTGACCGCACCAAAATTGTGAAATAATTCAATAAGAATCAGAATTCACGTTGAAACCCTGACTATATTGGCTTTTGAAGGTCCAAAATACACTTACTATAAGCAGAATTTGAGGTAAATATCTTGTAGAAACCTCTTTCCTCTATCCTTTTTTCTTCTTCTTCTTTGTTTCCTTCTTCTTCCTCTACTTCTTATTCTTAGGATTGTTATTGTCTTCTACTCCTTGAGTGTCGCTACGCTTTTTCCTGATGGTGCAAGTTTCTTTGACTAGAATTGGGTGACTCTGGGCTCTTAGGTACCGATTTGGTCAGGAGATTCCAGTGCTCGTGGATTTATTTCACAATTTTGGCGATAACATGTGTTTCAGACACTGCGCTGTGCTAGAGAGCCTGGAAGAAACGGCTTGAACTTGGGAATCGATATGTGATTTTCCTGGGACGCAAGCTTTGCAAAAGATAGGGAATGGAACGAAAAATGAAGGAATAAGGATTTTTGGTTGAATATTAACCACTGTAGGTTAGCAGGTTCATGTTAAATTTTGTGTTTTTAAAATAGCTTCAGCAAAAATTACGTCCTGTTCTAAATAAATTCAATTTCAAATTTTAAAGCTAGACAAAGCTGCGATGTGGATAGGAACTCCTTCAGGACCGTGATACTTTCAGGAAAGACGTGTATCCTGCCGTGCTAAGGAAAGTCGCCGTATGACCCTTTAGACCTTGTGAAAGTCCCTTTGCAAAAATACAAATTTTCAAGGAAATTTAAGAATATTTTTCCTTCAATTTTTCAGAGAATTTTCCGCGAAATCAGATCTAAATTACCCGGAAATTTCAAGTGGAAATATTTAAAACTCTCCATGCAAATAAACATTTTATTGGAGGAACTTCGGCAACTCTCGAATTACCATACGGCAGTACGGTAAAAAAAAAAAAAAAAAAAAAAAAAAAAAAAAAAAAAAAAAAAAAAACATACCCTAAGAACCGGACTACATTCTGCAATATGAGGAACTAAAATTGTTGGCTCATCTGTGCATAACTAATGGTACAAACGTTGTTTCTAAACTGAGCCAGAACGTATAATTCTGAATTGAAAAATGGAGGTCGACATCTAGGTAGAGGTCAACTTTGCCGAATTTGAACAGGTGCCTCGTGCATCCTTTTAAATGCAGATTATAGTTGCAAAAGTAATGCTAACAGAAATTTTCACGCAAAAAACTGAAAAATTAACATTCGGAACAAAACGTGAAAGGTGTCCAATCTTAATGATTTATTTTTTTCTTCTTTAAATTAAGTATACATACACTTACACATATAATAGGTACATTAAGGATGAGAAGAGGTAAATTTGTATAAGTAAACAATATAATAACAATCAATATAATTATTTGGGAACTTATGATGTGTTTTAAGGAATCAAATATTACCTTAAGAGTTGTAGGTATAGAAAGTTTCCATTTTCTACTCTAGCTTTTAGTTGCAGGTTATTCTGAATGTAACGGATCCTATGATCATCACTCGTTTTGTTTTTTTGGTTCATATTTTTAGTTAATAAGTAATAAACCTTAAGTTTTACTAACTTTATCACATTGGTTTTTATTTACAAAAGTAACAGTCATAAAATAAGGATCTGGTAGTTAATCAGTCTACAATAACACGTATACATACTTATATAGGTACCGAGGAAACTTCGTGTCCTATGTGCTTTTACAGCTAAATACATGTCACACACAATACTGCCCGAGTAAGAGTGTTGTTACCGCAACTATCGAACGGTACCTAATCATTTTCAAACTTGCCATTGGTTTTGGTCATTTTATGCTTTTCCTCTTATGAAATGGGAGACTGTTCCATTTTATCAGTAAAAATTAGACGAGATAGTTTTAAATCTAATAAATAGGGATTGGCGAGTTGAAATAAGTCTGTCTGCTACAAATTGTTGCTATACAGCGGGGGTAAAAGCTGTTTTCTACGGAGAATGACTAAAAAATCACCGTGAGCTCATCGAATTAATTTAAAATCCAATCCTCACTGCGAAATTTGCTTAAAAAATTTGCATTATATTTAGCTACCCGCTTCGAAAAAGATATTCCGGTAAGGATGTAGTCTCATGCAGATAATGAAAAGTGATGCCATCAAAAGTTCAACTTTTTTTTGGAGAAACAGCGTGAGGATCTAATACTGTAGACAGTTGTGAGTGACTGCGGCCATGTTGAATACCGCGTAAAGTTGTCTAGTGACCGACGGTGACTCACTCTGTAGGTTTTAACTTAAATCGTTATTGTAGTATCCTTTTTGAAGCGGGATGCACAAAATAAAACAAATGACTTGCGCAGATTGTCGAATGAGTTGTAAATTTGAAACTTTCTCAATATGCTCATTGTAATTGTCGTTACATTTTCCACGTGTAACAGCTCATAATTATATCTTTATTAAAATGTTTCGATAGATCCATTTGAAACTATAAAAAAAATAAAGTATGAAAAACAAAACGAAAACTTGAATCGGCCCTCTGACAGTTTTTTCAGAAACATTGGATCAAAAGTTTATTTTTGTGTGATTTGCCAATGCCATTAACATACTTTCCTCCTCGAGTGCTACATAAGTATTTCGACGGCGTAAGTCCGCAATCACATGTCTCGTTTGCTGTGTCTGAAAATCTCCGCTTCTATCTTATTTTTTTGAGGGATAACAAATTGACATTATTCCTTGAAGTTTTTGCAGAATTTTCTTCGCACAGAGAAAGAAATTCAAGGCAGTTTTAAATAATTGCCGTTGAGTAGTTTTCCGTTTAAAAAATAAAGTAATGTATGACAGGAAGTCTGCTACGAGGCAAACCGAGTTATGTGATTGCCGACTTACATCGTCGATTTGTATCTGAAAGTCCTTCCTTTCAGAAGCTTCCATGGCCCGGCATGACAGCTCTCTCCTGCATTCGTCTTCCAGACTACAGGCAACAGCTTACGTTTGCTTACCGGACATTATGCTGAAAGTACCTACGAGCAAATCAATAAAATCAACAGGAACTATATGAGGCATGCGAATCCTACGCACATAGTTGATTTTGATGCACAACATTTGCACACAGTTCCGTTCAGCAAAATTTCATTTAAGCCGGCTCTGATCCTTTCTTCCTGCAACAGTATTCAGTCCGATTAGCGCTGGACCCTTCAGGCGTCTTGATGAGGTACAAGCCCCTTTAGGGGGAGGTCCCCCTTGAGATTCTGCTTCGGGGCAGTGCCGACTACCCCTAGCTTGGATTGATCTTATCCTCGCGGATAGTAATCATCTGGATCAAGAAGGCATGGGTGGCGAGGTGCGATGTTTTTCCGGTATGACCAGGAGTTTTGGATCCGGCGGGAATAACGTAGAATATTTCGGTGCTCGCTCCATCTCTATGCAGTCCTCGTACTTAGGTGGTAGGTCATCTTGCGCCAACTGTCCAACAGAAAAAAAATAAAAAAGGATTAGATATACAATCAGAAGTATCTTACACAATCACGGGAAAAAAATTTGGGTAGCATTTACCATAATCTGGTTAAAAAACGGCACGGCCAGACAGTATGGTAACTTCCAACAAAATTATGGTCACATTACGGAAAATCTTGTTACTTTCACGATAATATTGATGACAGTTACCATACTCTCTGGTTGTGCCCTTTATTAAGCAGAATATGGTAAATGCTACCTAATTTTTTTCCGCGCTATTAGTGAGTGATATTTTCAAATCAGCGCATATGCCGGTGCTTTGAACGGCATTTTCAGATGTGGAAAGAGAAATAAGTTGTAGGTCTGAACACAATTGTTTATGCACGGCTGTCCACAGTGGCGATTTTGAAAGTTGGCAACGCTAATTTTCCTCCATTTAAATCCATTAAAAATATCGATTTTAGATGAGGCAAGCTGCCTCATCAAGGGTCGATTGTTTTTTATATATTTAAATGGAGGAAAAACAATGTTGCCAACATTCAAGAATCGCCCTGGCTCTCCTTGAGGAGGACCTCAGTTCGTGGAGGCAAAATTGTTAGCAGATTAATAAATATGATGAGTTGTGATGATGAATTTGATTTTCAGGCTTCAATTGGTAAATTTTTGAACTCTGATGACAAGAAATATTAGATTTTTTTTTTTTTTTTTTTGACTTTTTTAAAATACTATGCTTTTTAAACTTCAAACCACCATAACATTGGTTTGGTAAACTTTTTTGAGCTTTAAGTGGCGTATGGTAGAGTAAGTCTCGTATAATCGTCGTCTACCGATAAATTAATTTTGAGTTTTTGCAAAATATAGTCTCTTTTAAATGTACAGGAATTTGTCTGCATTCAAGTCAAATAGCAAGACTATCATAATGATATCAACAACGATATCTTAGATCGTCTTCAATATTAGAGATTCGAAATCAAGAATAAGGTATGCGTTGCGCAGAGGTGTAATACTTGTTGCCTCTAGCATAGATGAAGGCGCATTGAAGCGGTTATTACCGCAGTGGAGCGCGCGCAACAGCGCGGCACGTTTGTTTCTCTCCGTCTCCAAGCGAAATACGAGTATGCGGGCACAATCATCGAGAAATGTTGCTGCCCAGAAAATGTTTAATTTAAATTTTATTTTAAGTAACTTCAAGTACTTGCAAGTAAATCAATTGCTCAGATTTGCATTAAGAATGTGCACTGTCCTGTTTAAACCTCAGAAATCTTCATCAAACAGACTTAAACCTCTTGGGCTGCGTGAGCCAGTCTTTGGAGATTGTTTTTAGGCACCTCTCCGGGCGTACCTCTGGGCTAATTATTTCAATTATCAGCCCGTAGATTGATTGGTAAACGAGAAATACCAGACGATCACCGTTGCCACGTTTTTTAAACATAGAAAAATGCAAAATGTTGATGTGAACAGTTGCTCTGTTGAAAAAGACCTACGTTTAGAATTTGTGCAAGAAATATAAAAAAAGCATTCACGCTTCGAAGTGACAATCTGTATTACATCCATACCATTCATGGTGTACGGACAAAAATGTTCTATGCGAGAGTAGCTTCATGCGTTGCCTACAAGAATAGAGAGGCCATAACTGCGATTCTGTGACGTCACGCTAGTAGATGAAACTCGCGCGCGATTTAACATGTGTTCTTATGGGAGAACGCATGACACATGTTCCTTTTGTGCTAATATATTTTCAGGGGTTTATCTTATGCAAAAATTCATAAGAACCTTCTTGAAAGAAGGTAAAATTTCACATAAGTAAACTGCCCAGTTCGTAAATTACATTGTCTGATAATTTGAGGAAATTAAAGCCAAACACAAATGAATACCGAAAATCGACTAAGATTCAAACTCGCCGTTGATGCAACTTTGGCCGATCGACAGCGGATCTGATTGGTTAACACGGCGAGTACTCTACTACTAGTTAGACGTCACGAAACTGAGTAGTTACGGCCTCTCCGTCTCCATTCTCGTAGGCAATGGTTCATGATGCCAACTGTCATATGAAGGTGAGCTTTATAAGAGTAAAATTTCTGGAAAATCGTAGACATTTTTTTGAGGGAGAGGGAGGGAGGTATTGTAGGTCATTAGGAGTTCAAACCCCCTAAAACCTCTTTGTTTCCCGCCCCTTCGTCCAAAGAAACATCGTCCATTGGCCAAGGCTAGGCCTCTGTCCGCATGTAATAGATTAGGATATGCGTATCCCTGATTGGCAGCCCAATGGTTCATTCTAAACGTTAAATTAGTATTTTAAATTTGGCAGCACATGTTAATAGAGAGAAGGAAATTTTCTTTTTAAAAGTTACCTAATAAGACAGGCAATTGAAAAAATTGCCGAACCTAAAAAAAGGCAAAACTAGAGAACTTGAAAGCGTCGAAAACGAGAGACTGATATTTTATCGGTGAATAAACTGATATTCGATTATTCCAAGCCAGCATTCGTTGGCGTTAGAATAATTAAAATGATTGAAAAGTTATGTCGAACCGCCAAGTTTCGAGAATGTTCCAAGGTTCGTCGAGAGCATGTTTTGAGATTTTGCCGGAGATAATAAATTTTATTTAGCGCGCCACTCGAGATACTGCCTACGGTTCGCGGAGGGATATTTCCAGACCGTTTGTTCAACATACGATATTATTTTCTTCATGCCTGCTCTATCTAGGTTTCCAGTTTTCATTTGTCAAACTAGGTACGTTTAAATCCTTCACACAATCAACTTTGGTTTTTTACTTTAAAAATTGGGTATAGATTTTCAACCAGGTGTTAGAATGGCGCATGATTGAAACCAACTTCTTATGAATGCATCAACCTCACATCATTAACTTTTATGAGGATAACGTTAAAAAAATCCAACTTATTTAAATGAGGGGGTATAATTTTACAGGAGGTAAAATTTTACGATGGAATTTTCTATCGAGGCTTTGGTTAAAAAGTAAAAGGGGCTGAATTTGGGTGATTGGGTCGCTTTTCGAAAGGAGAGGCAAACAGTTTCAAGTGGGGATATTCAGAGACGATTTGCTCGATTTTTTTGCCTTGAAAGTTTGGCAGCATTTCCGTTAAATAAATTAATAGGGGGCATGCCCCCTGACCGCTTCGCAGTCCACCCCCCCCCCCCAAGGCGCTTCACGGCTTAAGCGTCATGCGTTACGCCTACGCGTTACCATTATGATTTGGACTGCATTTTGCAATTTGGACCTATAAATTCTGGCTCATCTGAAAAAACACTTATGTGCATAGAGAAACTAATAGCACATACGTTGTTTTAAAGCGAGCCAGAATTTATAGTTACAAATTGCAAAATGCAGTCCATTTTATATTGAGTAAGATAAGCACTGAAACCTAACTGAGGCAACCTATTCAAATCGGTATCAATTTTTTTACACGAATTTAATTCGATAACACCTAGTGATGCCACATTTAAAATTTTCACCTCCGAGAATATGAAATATCAGAGCCCGGAGGAGTGGGAGAGGTGAAGGAGGGACTGTCAAAGTATAGTTTGTGTGAGCGAATTGCAGATTCATTGATATGATGATCGCCGCAACACGAATCGCGGTTGCAACACGGTGACCATGTTGACGCATTGCTACCGGTGAAGTTGATGATTGGTGTAGAGTGACCGCCGAGTGGGGAACCTGATACCATTGTCAAGGAGATCAATAATCACCTTTGTCAATGCCAATCTTTAGAGTTACCTGATACAGATAGTTAAAGTTGAGAAAAAAATACAGTTCTAGGATTCGGTCTATTACGTTTGTGACTCATGAAGCTAACTTTAACCTACAGTAAAATCGTCGCTCCTCTGACGTGAGGACGTATCCCAATTGGACGTATTTCTGCCAAACGGAACTATGTGCATTAAGACATGAGCCCCGACACCGATAAGGATATATGCATAACAGGGCCCACGTCATAATGCACAAAGTTCCGTTTGACAGAAATGCGTCCAATTACACATGAATCAGTGAGTTCGAAAACACACCAACTCGGGTTTTTTTCGATTTTCACTTTTCTACGGTTTAGTAACACTTATGGATAGAAACATCTGCACGCAAAGGGAAATTTTGAAATTGCAATCGAGAGTGCTCGAAACAACGACGGGAACAGGGAACAATCGAAGTATTTCATTGGAAATACCAATTTTTGGCCATTTCAAGGGAAACGGGTGACCATCCGATTTTGCGGTTTTCTTTTTTCGGTTCAGTATGCCTCTTGTACCAACAAGTTATATAAATCTTCAAACGTTATTCAGGTCGAAAAATATAAAATTTTCAGGGCAGACTGTGAATAAATCAGTATCTGAAAGTCGGTGAGAACGAAAGCACACCAACTCGGAAATTTTTAAACGCTTAATTCTCTGTCATCAAACATTGTGTATCGATTTCAACTTGGTGCTTTACAAAGTCTCTAAGTACTTGTCATTTGGCACCAAAAATGTTTTTCTTAAACTAACGCTCCGTAGTTTTAGGTGTTTCCTGAACAATTTTTTTTTTTTTCCCGAGTTGATGTGTTTTCGAACTCACTGATTCACATTAGCCGTGGAAAAATAGAGCTACGCGAAGGACTTATATTGATTTAAAAGACATGAACAAAACAAAATGTGAATAAGTAAAACTTTTACATTTTAAAAAATCTTATCAATAAAAATTGAAATCTCTGTTAAAAACTATTATTAGATACCTTATTATGAGGGGTAGCTTGCGAGATACGCTCTTACGTCAGAGGAGGGACGAAATGTCATCTCCTTACGCTGTAGGATTCCGACGAGGAGGAATGCTAGTGTATTTAGAGCTTCTGAATCCTTAAATAAACTCAGATTTTGTTTTATTTCTCACAGTTTTCCAGATAAAATATTTTGAGACAGCTCCTTACGCTGCTTTTTAAAGGGTTCGCGGTCACGAGGAGAGCGGGCGTTTAAAGTGATTCGCCAAAAAATTTTCTTCCTGGAAGACTGGAGGGCGATGAA